GTGTGTGTGTGTGTGTGTGTTCGTGTATATTTTTTTATTTTTTTTGACCATTCCATGTTTTTGATCCCCTGCAGGTGTGTGAGGGAAAGAAGCGAGTCTTGTTCATCGGCATTTCCTGTGGATTATCAGTAAGGAAAAATCTAAATCTACATTGTGAGCTTGTAAACCTGAAAATGAACTCAATCCAGTTCATGAACAATTTAAATTATTCCTCCACAGGCTCCATTTGTGGCAGGTCAGCTGGATTTCTGCCTGCAGCACCCAGAGATCTACACTCCTGTGCTGCTTGGCTTCAACCCTGTGCATCAAGCCAAGTGGGTACAGGTTCCTTTCATGTTATATCCTGTGAAGAAATTATGAATCATTTGGTATAAAATGCCACTTTGGGATTGATAAGGTCTGTTACGTGTGTAGGGATGAACCCATACCTGGCTGCACATTCACATTTCGCAGTGTGGTTGAAAGGATGCAGGATTTAGTCAAAACTCAAGAGGCCTTCCTCGTCAACCCGGCAGTTGGGGTGAGACTCATAACGCTCTTGTGCTCACACTGGAATTTCATCTCAAACTGTTCAGGTTGAATTTGTGTCAAAATTAGAAACAAGGGAGCTGTGTGTTGCTACTACAGTCACTGACTCTCTCTCTCTCTCTGTGTGTGTGTGTGTTCAGCCAGAAGCCATCAGTGGCTCTTCCAGGATGAAGGGTGGCAGCGCTACTAAGATTGTCCTGGACGTCATCTTGTCTGCTGCTCATGCTGCGACCTTCACAAACACGCCCATCACACACAAGTGAGCACGACACTGAGAAACATCTGAAAATGTCCCACGAATGAAAAAAAATGAGGCTTTAAAAACACTGAAATGAGGAGGACACTTTATTTTCTAAGATCCCAGTGAAAGTGCACTGGGTCTCATATTGATCCTCTGTCATGTTCTGGATCAACCTCATAGCACCTCAACTCTCTCGTCTCCCAAAGGTCCAACATGTCGTTTCTTAAGTGCGTCTCTGTGTTGACATTTCTCACTAACAGCCACCTGAAAGATCTGCTCCTGCCCCGGACAAGCTTTTCACATTACTACTGCTCCGTGCATTCAGACGTGTCGCTACCTCACTGTACATTCACACCCTTTTTTTTTTTGTTTGTTAAGGCAGCAAGTTGAACATCATCACAAAAGCCAAATTCATTGTGTTTCTATTGTGTGTTGCTGACCTCTACAGGTCATGGTAGAAAAGAGATTCTGTCTAATTATGCAACAGCGTAGAAATAACCAATATTGTACTTACACTATAAAGTAAACGGTGCAAGTGCATTTATGGAATTTTGCCCTAATGCACAATTTTCAAGTGTAACACCACAAAAAAGTTTGCAGCACATCTGATGTCGCTGCGTACCTGCCTGTAAAGCTTCCTTGTTTTTTCCAACAGGGGAATCGTGCAGCACATGAGAGAATATGAAAGAACTCTGGATGTGACATACGCTCAGAGCGAGGGGATGAGTGCTCTGGTGGAAGCAGCTGGACACAGGTCAGACTTTTCTTTCACGCCTTTTCACTTTTTATAATAAACACAGCAGTAATTTCTGTAAAGCTGTTTAAATCTAAAGCCTCCAGATTTGTATCCATGTGGAACTTCCTTATCTCCGTGTGTGTGTGTGAGTTTCAGTTTGCGATGTGGAGGGCGTGTGTGTTACCTGGGCTGGGGCTCCCTGGCTGTGCTGGGCCTCATTGATGCCAGTGAGTGTATCCCCACATTCGGAGCAGGTGAGACGACAAAAACACTAAATCTAGAACAATCTCAATCCACCTGATATAATTTGCAAATGATAAATCTTTTACATTTACTGTTCCATGTGTTTGCGTCAGACTTTGAAGATATCCGCGGCTTCGTGAGTGGAGGATACAGGCAGCTGCACAATAATGAAGGTCCCTTAACGTCACTGGTATGTGAAGGGAAACAAAACAAAAGAACTCAATTAGTGTGAATGAGCAAGTAATTATTACAAATACAGAACAAAAGGCTCTAATCTGACACAACGCACCATCGCATTGTGAAAACAGGAGAATTCTCTGAGCCTCATCTGCTGCAGTGCTGCCAGTATAAGCTTTAAACATGGATTTCTATAGTTACACATACAAGGACCCTGGATATAAAGCAGCTAAGTGGAATGCAGCTGTCATTCATCGCACTTTGTTGTACTGTGACATGTCAAAACGTCTTCTGTGAAAAAGGCCTGTGGTTCTTAAACACGTGTGAAAAATCCTGACAAAGTATTAAAATGTTTCAAATCCACTAAGATTCAATTAAAGTGAAATCCAGCTTTTCTCCAGCAGCATGTGAGTCTCTGCTCCGTGTGACTCCTGGATGAACCCTGCTCAGGATTAGTATGAAACACATCCGGCTGCACCTGAGACATGAGACACGGTCGGACTCCATGTCTCCTTTTAATTAATCTGCTTTAGTCTTTTCATTGCACTGCTGGTTGCTTTCACTTTGGGTTTAAACTCAACTCCAGGCATGTAGGCGTGATCAAAAGGAGTTTGATGGTTCAGTGACATGAAATGAAAGAGATCAGTTAAAGAAAACCAGTGTTTGTCTCCAGGAATTGATTGATAATAACTGTATGTATCTAAAATATTATAATTTTAACTTAGTAAACCAACTGAACAAGTTTTTGTATTTTTGGCTCTCAACAAAATCAAACAACGAATTTACGAAGTAGCCTCTAATAACATAAAAGTTTGTATAAAGTTAAAATGAACATAAAGACTAAAAAGCTGAGTTATAATCCTTAATATTTCAGCTGTGACTGACTCGACATGTGTCAACTATAACTGGTGGGGGCACTAATAACGTATTATTAATGGAACCAGCTCCATTCAAAGTGACACATTCATCAGTCACTGCTCTGAGCAGCCACTCAGTCAGAAATAGATCAGAGGGAGAAAAGCAAATTGTGTTTAAATCGCTGTATGACGCACTGACTGCGTCTTTCATCCTTTGAATTTTTCTCACCCTGTGAAAATCACTGCTAATGATTGACAATGACTGCTTTATTTAAAGGTAACAAATGGTGCGAGAAACCTGAGGTGAGAAACTGAAAACCCTGACTGAGGAAGAGGCACTCAAAGAAAAGTGTTAATTATTAAGAATTTAAACATGAGGAGTGTGTGGGTGGAGTTTGATCTGATTTGAATCAGCCAAAAAACACAAGCTCACAAAGCGACGCCACATTATGATTCATGTGCTGCTAGACTCAGGGATTTTAAACTGTGTGTGTTTGTGATGTATATTTAACACCTGCTCTGTCCTCCAGGGTCGTCAGTTCTGCATCTCACATGAGGATTTTCAAAGTTTGGTTCTGCCTCACCTCAGCGACCAGGACACTGTTCTTCTCCTCTACACACACTCTGGTGAGACAACGTTTCTGTTCATGTTCGATTCGGTCCAGAGTTAAAAAAAAAACAAGAGCAGGTGTGTTTACGGCTCCTCTCCACAGACGATGTCGCCGACGTGGTGAAAGTGGCAGGAACGGTGAGAGGAAGGACGTCCAACCTCCACGCTGTTTATCATCAGACTGATGGAGACACTGCTGCTGCTGGACAACAAGTATCTGGCTGTCTGTCTGTCTGTCCACTCATCCATCCATCACTCGGTCAGTCTGTCCGTCCATCGAATACTCTCCATTGTGTTTTGCAGGATCACATCAATAAGCTGTGTTCATCGACTCTGAAAATCACTTGGCCGTCATCTGCCTCTGCCAGCTTAGTTCACATGGTACAGCACACACACACACACACACATATGGGGACACACACACAGGGACACACACGCACAGACATACACACACCCTCATTGGTTCACTGACTCACTGGAGCATGCTAAATAACTGTTTTGCCTCATTTACTCTCGTTTTCTTTGGCTTCCACCCTCCAGCTTTTGCCGAGCCTCAAAGAGAGAGCACACACAGGACAGAGGGACTGTCCCCTAAATGCTAAAACACAGATTTAGTCTTTATTGACTCTTATTCCTCATGTTCTCAACATCTTTATATTTTACTCACAAACTAAATTCCCCCTCTCTCTCTCAGCAGTGGGAGCTGTCCACTAAGCTGGTGCTGAACGCTGTGAGCACTGGAGCTCACATCTTAAAGGGGAAGATTTACCAGAACTACATGATTGACGTGCAGGTCACCAACAGCAAACTGTACCGCAGAGCCACGCGTTTACTCCAGGTATGGAGATCTACACCCTTAAAACCACATTAAGTCACTTATTTACATTAAACCAGCAGCTTCAAAATGACTTCAGCAGTTACATTCTCCTGTGAGAAGTTCAAGAAGCTTTAACTGCCAGAATCAGGTCGAGCAAATTCAAGATTTATGAGATTCAGCCAGGAAACTTTTAAAATATCAAGAATTCTCAACAGAGTTTGGTGGATTTGTTACAGCTGCAGCCCTTCTTGGTCAGGAAGCAGGGGATCATGGGTAATATCCACCATTCAGTCGTGGCTCAGTCCAGTGAGTGGGATAGAATCACTCACCACATGCAGCTGCAGAGGGCGCTGTTGGTCAGTAAAAGCTACATAGTGTGGCTTTAAGCATAGCAGCTGAAGACCCACCTATTTTATTTATTACTTTATACCTCTTCTTAGGTTTATCACTGTTGTGTAAACGTCTGAGTCTGATGATTGTGGATCTGGATTTAAAACTCTCCCACCCTGGTCTTCTAGAAACTGTCTGGTCGTCCTGAGTCCCATTGTGAGGAATTCCTCTTGAAGGCGATCTACCGAGCTGACGAGCTGACAGTGGACATCACATCGTCTGACATCACCACTCGAACACACGCTGCCAGAGACAGAACCACGGTGAGGAGGTGGGAAGATGATGGAGGAAGAGGAAGGTGGAGGAGGATGTATGCATTATATTTTCTGCTGTGTGTGTGTGTGTACAGGTAGTCCCCCTGGCTTTGGTCTGCCTGCTGACTGGCTGCTCTGTCTTGGAGGCCGAGTCTCGTTTGGAACAGCAGCCAATCATAAGGGAAGCGGTGGAGGCGTGTCTCGCATGATTGACATCGTCCTCACACACATACAGTACATTCACTTGTTGAGCAAATCCTCTATTCCCACTGTACAGAAGGTCAGAGGTCAACTTTAATGTCTCAGATACTCAGATCTGCTGCAACAGTTTGAATCCCATCGCCTCCTAAATGTAAAACCATGATATAACACTAAGGGGCAGAGTTGCACACTTTAACCTGCATAACCAGTACACAAAGTACTGCTAGTTTGTAGTGTACTTACAACAGAGAGTGTGGAAATTCATCAGAGTATACGGTGCATGCAGTAAAATTGGGAAATTACAGTAATACCGTAAATAAGTATCTGTATGTTCTTCTGATTACTTCAACTACTGGATGATGATACTCTTCAAAAAGCTGAAATAAACACACTACATAACATCACTTGAATTACGTTCAAAGGTTCCTGTGGTTTTCTGGAGGTACAGGCTTTACCGCGTGATGTAAGTCAACCTCAATCCCTCCGTGGCTCAACACACACACACACACGCACGCGCACTCACAGGTACAGGGATTAGTGTGACGTGTGAGTGTATCTTGAGAGCTGTTGAGCAGCTTTGCAAACACATTTGGAGCAGAGCCGAGCACAGTGGGGGGGCACAGAGCACAGGAAGCTCAGGACAGGCAAGTCGACATCAGACCCGGATCAGAAAGCTTGAGCACGTAATTCTCTATATGAACATGCCTGAAATACTTCAATAAAACGAGGTCTGTCCCTGAGATTTCAGACAAGACAGAAGAAAGAGGTGAATAGAGTCAGATATTATATTTAAAACACCTCTTATCAGAATCAGTGTTAAAATTCTGGATAGTCTCCTGCCAAGGGACAGAAAATAGTTCTGAAGTAGAAGGTCAATTAACAAACACGTCATTTCATCAACTTTATTTATTGATTTGCTCTATAGGTACATGATGTTCACTTGGTGATGTCACAGATTGATGGACAGTCAATCGGACCAATAGCAGCATAGGCACACCCACACACATCCTCTCGGTACAGCCCACTCAGCTCGGTTTGGGTTAAATGAGAGAAAATTGCTCTGTAGAATATTTTCCAGCATTTTAAAGAGCAGCTTTGATCCATTCCAGCATCTTTTTACAGGCTCTGGGATTCTGCTTGACTAACGGCGGAGATGTCAGGAAACAAAAGACGGCCAATTAGGCGTGATCTCCCCCTGTGTTTCTGTCAATCTGCCCTCAGATAACCATGGATACAGTAAGGCCTCAGTGACACGCTTCACGCTGTTGTTCCACATGGCTGGTCATACAAACCCTGAATCTGAATCTACAGCATGCAACACACAACCTAAGGATGGTTTACGTCAAACTCAATTCACACTGCTGGATGTATTTCTGTGTGTCAGAATCACAAACATATGCTCAGTGTCACTTTGTGCAAGCTTTACATTCCTGGGAAATGTAGGATAAATGTGCACAGTTATTTCTCTCTATGTAAATATAATGAGGTACACTTGCTGAAAGTATTTACACAAGGATCTTTTTTAAGATTAATACGATAAAGTAACTAGAAACTGACGGATTTCATAAAGTCATTTACAGGAATACTTCAGCATCAAAATATGAGTCATATCGTTAAACTAAAGTAACAGCTTGGAGCATCATGGCTGCTCAAACCCCTGAGATTCCAGCATCGACTTAATGGGACAAGACAAAGATAAAAGTTAACGAATACACAACCAACGATCAATACAGATGTTCTGTCAAACTACTGAATCAAACATTATCTCTGAGGTACTTGGTTTTATAATGGTTATATGATTTGATTTAAAGAGTTCACATAATATTGTACACCCATACGTGTCAAAAAAAAACATTCTTTCAAAAATATACCTTATCTTACAGTACAGTAATACAGAGAATACACACAGTTACCTTCTGCATGTACAAATATAACTACAATGGATCTGGAGTGATAAAGTGCTTCAAGTGTTTGTTTGTTGTTACATTTTTTTAACCTCGGCTACATAATCAGTGCAAGGGTTTCTGGGAGTCTTTACGTCATAATGTTGGTTACTATTCATCCAGCTCCATATCGCTCTCTTTCGGTTTGCGACGTTTGATCCTAGCCGGCGACCGGCTCCTATTTGAGCTCGCACCACCACCGGTGGACACACTGACGACCATCTTGGGCACTTCTATGGTGCATAGGGGTGGTGAGTCCGTGTGGATGTCCTCCAAGGAGCCGGGCTGGGACTCCACAGACGTCCTGGTGAACTGATGGAGGAGAGCACCCTCCTCCTTTTTGTTGCCTTTTACTTCCTCCTCCTCCTCCCCTTGCTCGGGCTTGAACTCCTCCACAGCATCATCCCCGACCTCTTCCTCATCTCCGTCTCCTCCTCCCGCCTCTTTCTCTTCCTCGTCACCAGTGGTTCCAGCAACAAGTTCATCCGCACTGGTGTCACTTGGGCTTTTTTTCTCCGTGTCTGAGTCTTCAGCATCGGCCTCCTCTCCCTCAGTCACCCCCTGGTCCTGAGGGTTCAACAGAACAGTACATTTGGAACTTGAAAATGTTTTTCAGACATTTGCTGACTGAGAATAAGATGGGACGTCCATCAGTGCTGCTGCCGAAGAAAACAGATTTGCTCAGTCTGTCTAATTGGATAGATGGATTATCTTTTCCCACAGGCTTAGAATTAGCGGTGAGGCTGCAGTGGGTCAGGTTCCTCTTTAAGGTCCCGCAGACTTTAACCCTGCAGTCATGTTCTCTGTGGTGTTTTTAAATAGGTGCTGCTCAGTCTGCTCGACATGTGTCAGTACATTCTTAAGCAGGAACAGCTATTTACAGTTTGTCCCCCAATGAATCTGTTCAATCTTTAAAAATGACTTCTGGTCAACAGCTTCCCTAATTTCACAGGTGCCATTTTGAGGCTGAGGTTTTTGTTTTACAATCAAATGTCTATTGGATTGCCATAAAATTAAGAGAATGATCCATGTATCCCATATAAATTATAATAACATTGGTGATTCCCTTAACTTTTCACTGAGCACCATCACAATTTCAATGTATTGAATGTTTATGACCAAATACCTGCCGAACTAATGACGTTCCCATGAGTCTCGGCTGCTAAATAGAAAATGCTATGTTTTCAGTTTTCTCTCGTCTTTTACTGGATTTACCTGTGGGGAGGGTCCTTCCGGCTCCTCACTTTCTCCTCCTTCTCTCTCTTCATGTGACTCCACCTCTCCGCTGCCATCTTCCCCGTCATCTTCATCCTCTGCCGATTCAATTTTCTCAGCGTTTTCATCGTCTGCCTCCTCTTCTCCACTTTCCTTTCCTGTTGTTTCCTCTTCCTCAGGCTTAGAATCAGACGCCTCACACTCCTCCTCTTCCTCCTCACCATTTTCAGTGGTCTCTCCTTTACCTATTGATACTTCTTTAACAGTCTCCATGTCGCTCTCCTCCTCCCCAGTTCCTGTCTCGTCCTCATTGTCCCCCTCATCATCTGCCGCCTCATCTTCACCTGTGTTGTCACTAGTTCCCTCAGCCTCCTCTTCCTCTTCTGCCTTTTCACTCTCCTCCTCCTCTCCTGTTCCCTCACCTTCTTTCTCTCCCTCTTCCTGTTCCTCACCACCTTCACAATTTTCCTCCTTTTCTATCTTCTCCTCTTCTTCTGTCTGATCCTCATCTTCTTCCTCATCCTCCTCTGGGATCATCTCGTCTAAAACAACCTCAGCTTTAATGTCCTCTTTTGTTTCCTCCTCCTCCTCCTCCTCTTCTTCCTCCTGCAATACCTCCAAATTCCTCCCCTCCTCTTCCTTTACCACTCCGTCACTTTCCACGTCTGCAGACTGGAGCACGGCTGCAGGCGCAGGCGCAGGCGCAGGCTCTGGGCTTTTCTTCAGCTGAAGTATCTTCAGGAGGTCAAACTCCATCATCACTGGGGCTTCGGCTGCCATTGGGTCCGCTTTGAGAGGCCGGGCGGCCATCTTCTTGCGGACACAAGCATCGCAGGGGCAGTACTCATCATCACTTCGCTGGTCACTGAAATCACCTGTCGTCTCCCCATCACTGAGAGAGTCAGTGGTTTTCACAGATTGGTTCTTCATGACCTGAAAAAACACGAAACATCATCTTTCTGCACTCAAGCAGCAGCATATTATTAGAAGTAAAGAATATTTGTTGTTACCTTTAACATTCGACGCCTCTTGTCCGTCATGGTGGACTCCCTGGAGAGGTTCGCTCCTTGGGGCGGCCGGGGCGACCTCCCCACTCTGCCAGCTCGACTCTTAATCTTCCTTATCTCGCGCTCGATGCTGCTCTGGATGCGCCGACTCACCTCGTCCCTGAGCTCAGAGATCATCGTGTCCAGGATGAGGCTGTCGTCCAGGTCCCAGCGAACTTTAAACTCTGCCATAGCGTTGATGTAGTGGTTTATAAACTGTTTCTCCAGCTTCTTCAGAAGGTGCAGAACCCAAACTGGATCAGGCTCTTGGGATAGTTTTTTGGACAGAGGTGCTCGCAGGACAGTAGAGGGTGTCTCTGAACTGGTGTCGTCCACCGTGTCCTGCTCGTTATCGGTGGGGGATTTGGAGCCGTCGTTGGCAGAGCTCTTGTCTGAGGATGATGGGTTCTCTGTGGCTTTCGGGCTGTCCAGACTTGGAGGGAGGGTACTTTGTTCTTCACTCTGCACCTGCTCCTCTTGTAAAGATTCAATCGCCTTTGGGGGTGTTTCATGTCCGTCTTTATTGCCATTCTCCTTTCCCGACCCACCGGAGCCACTGCTCATACCGACCCCAGATGAGGACCTCGGTGGAGTCACCTGCTCTGTGCCGATGTCCTTGCCCTTCTTGACCTCAGTCTCACTGGGTCCAGTGAGCCAGAGCGACTGGAGAATGGTCATGATCTCTTCATACTGCTGGTTAGGGTTTTTCTGCTGGTCAGAACCAGGGCTCAGTGCCGGCTGGATGAGCTGGAGCTGGGCCAAACAGTCCAAGAACCCTCTGGCTGATGTGCTCAGTCGACGGCCGTAAACTGGAGACACCTACAGAAGAGAGCAAATAAACCAATTAACTACATGTTAAATTATCTGTTTTAAAATGTTTATAATCAGAAGTTTAAACTGCGCTCGTGTTTACATTTGTACAACAGGTCGGCCTGTTCCTGAAACTTAAAGCTTATTTGAATTAAAAGGTTAATAATTTCATCTAAAAGACATGAACCTGAAGATTATAACATAAAATAGAACTACAGAATGACATGATAATCCTTTAAATACCTCTGGCATACTTCGGCATCGACCCAGAGAAGAACTCAGAAGAACTTTCATCACAGCCACAGACGGATGCAAGTTCCTGGGCAGTGAGTCAGCACTCAGCAGCCGAGCGGGACAAGACGTCGCTGTTGCATCACCTGGAGCTGGATCCGAACTCTCCTCCTCCTCTGCTGTGTCACATTTAGCTTCTCCCTCTTTCTCTGCTCCATCTTCAGCCTCACGTTTCTCCTCCTCCTCCACTTTATCATCGTCAAGAGTCTCCTCCACCTGCGCCACCTCCTCTCCAGGTTTCTCTTCCGCCTCCTGCTCACCCTCTTCCAACTCGTCGCCCAGTGCCAGCATGCTGCTGTTGGCAGGAATGCTCCGCAGCCAGTCGTTTACAACCTGATTAGGGGAAGCGTTGGGCAGACAGGCGGGTGTGAGCTCTGGCTTTTTATCCTTCTGGTTTCTTTTTGTCTGACTTCTTGCACTTTTCTCTCCCCCTGTTCTGTCACTAGTTTTGCTGGCCTTTGAGTCCCGGCTGTGCGGACGTGCAGCCATGGTTTCCTTCAGCAGGTCGGCAGCAGACAGAGAGTGAGACAGAGTGTTTTCACTCTCCACTTTGCTGCCTGGTCTGGAGTTATGCAGGGGACAGGGACCATCGCCACAGTTGCTTCCTGCTTTAGAGTCGGACTCATGGGCTTTGACTGATTTGACTGAATCTTCTTTACTTCGCTTCGAGGCTTTTGTTTTCGACCCGGATTGAGCCGAAGCTGCAGATTCAGGCCTGAGGCAACACGGACTCTTGGAGTGAACCCTGGCTGCAACATCTTCTGGCTCTTTGACCTCACTGATGTTTCCAGTGTCATTACTTGCTGAATCTCCAACAGGGGTTTTTGCTACATTGGCACTTGCAGGGGATTTAGTCCGAACTTTAGCACTTGTTGATGACATTGAAGACGAGGTTCTTTTGTTGTGGGCGTCCAGATTTCTAGTTTTTGAATCACTTTCTGGGTCATTTCCTGCTTGTTGCTCTGTCACTTTGGTGCTACAGCTACACGAGGACTTGTGGGATCTGCTGCTTTTGGCTGAAATTGCACTGGCTGCTCTTTCTGCTTTTTGCCCTACACCTTCTTCTTCATCCTTACCATCCCCCCCTCCTGGAGTTTCTATCGTGGGGATATCGACTGCAGGAGGATTGTGAGACAAAGTGCTTTTATTCTCGGACCCTCTTCCTTCTACATCTTTCTTTGCAGCAGACCCCCTCTGGGTTTTAGGGTCCTCAGATGCTGCTGTCTTCCCTCGGCCCTTACGCTCAGTGTTTGTGCAAAATGAAACATTGGACTTCCCACTATCTGAGTCGGCTGTTTCTTCGTCTTCTGGCAACCAAAGAGAGACTGACCCTGATGAGCATCGACTCGACAGTTGCTCGGTGCCTCCTGAATCCCTCCTCTGTCTTTTGGAAGAGGATGATAAGATGCTCGCAGCCTGTTCAGTAGCCTCTTCATTATTTTCCTCTTTCTTATCCTCCCCTGAAGCTGCTCCACAGCGACATTTGGACCTGCCAGATTTAGCAGAGGTTGCAGAGCGAACTGACAAAGCACTCTGTCCTCTTGTCTCACCCAAACCTGGACCAGGCACCAGCTGTTGTGCAGAGGATTGAGGACTGCAGGGTGCAGCTGGAGCTTTGGGTGTGGTTCCATTATGATTGGATGAAACATTAGATTTTACAGACTTAGCTGATGCAGCGCTTGGTGCTCTCTCTGTCATCTCATTTCCTTCTTCCTCAACCTCCTCTGGTTTGTTGATGGTAACAGCATTTGGACCTGGTGATGACGATTTGACTTTGGACCGCACTGACGATTTTGACTTGACAGACATGGCACTGGCAACCCGCTCTTCGATTTCAGTTTGCTGCTCCTCTCCATTTGGAGAAGGTGCAAAGCACCTGGACTTCTTGGACTTTCCCGACAAAGCACTAGGGCTTCTGTCCACGTCTGTCTTTGAATAGTGAGACTTCACAGATGAAGCTGATTTACCAGATAAAACACTGGCAGTCCGCTCCTTAGCATTTTCACCATCTCCTGTATTCTCATTGGACATTTTGGATCTATGAGACATTGTGGACCAGGCACTGGCTGCTCTTTCTGTTTCTTCCTCTACCATCTGACCTTCTTTCTCCTCTGCCTCCTCTTCTACCTTTGAGCTCAGAGATGCCTCAGTTACATTTTCATCACAGTTAGACTTACCTGACTTCAAAGACTTTACAGACACATTTGTTGATTTGACTGATCTGGCAGACGTTTGACTTGCTGCTCTCTCCTCTCCCGCTTCCGACCTGGGTGAAAGTGACCTCTCTGAAGCTTTGGTGGACTTATGGGAATTTTTAGACTTGACTGAGCGATTAGACTTGGCTGACATGGCACTCGCTGCTCTATTTTGCACGTCTGTTCCTTCTTCCTGTCTTGCTGCTTCCTCAGCACCTGGAGATTTAACTTTTGCACAGCGACTGCAAGCGGACCTGTGAGAGGCGCTCGACTTTGCTGTAACATTTGATTTCGCTGACAGGGCACTATCGGGTCTTTCAGAAAGGCTACTGGAAGATATTTTGTTTCTGTCATCCTCTTCGATGGCTGTGTTGTCAGTTGGGGAGGCAGTGTTAGTTTTTAATGAACAGTTGGACTTGTGAGATTTGACTGACAAGGAGCTGATTGCTCTCTCGGCATTTTCTCCCTCTGCTTCCTCTCTTGTTCTCGTGTCAGGTGTTTCAGCTTTGTCACTGTGGTGTGACTTTCTGGACCTGGCAGACATGGAGCTGCAGCTCCTCCCCTCCTCTTTGCCCACTGTGATACCACCATTACTACCAGACATGTGCGACCTGTTGGACCTGTGGCTTGTTGCCCAGATGGCACTCGGAGCTCTTTCTTCTTCTTTTAGTTCAGGACTGGATGCTCTGGACACGGCACTAGATGCTCTGCCCTCCAAGACGTTTGATTCTGCAGAGATGTGGTCACAGTTAGTAAGGTTGGACTTGTTGGATTGTGTTGACACGGCAGAATCATCCGAGACATCATCATTACTGTCGTTGTTCTCCTGGTTGTGTTGAGGTGAATCAGGGTTTGAAGTGGCTCCACGTTTGCAGCCTCCACAATTGGAGCACACACTCGATGCCCCTGATTTCTTAGAGCCTGTTGAAAGTCCTGTGCGACCAGACCTGCAAGAGGCTCTGCTCAGTTTGGACCTGGAGCTGGGGGCGCGCTCCATCTCCTCTGCTTCGGCTGTTGAGAGTTGCGTGACGGCACCACAGCAACAGGAAGAAGCTGCAGACACTGCACTGCTTGCTCTTTCTTCCCCGTTCTTGTGCTTTTTAACTGGTTCTTTGCTGTGATGACACCGTGAGGCGCTGGGTGGCAGCTCCTCCTCATCATCATCCTGATCCTCTTTCAATGACTGCAGGACATGTGAGGTGCTGCTGACTGCAGACAGTGGACGCTCCTGCTCTTCCTCCATCATCACCTCATCCTCCCCTGACTTGCTGCTGACAGGTCGTAGGTTGCTATCTCTGGCGACTACTTCGCTGCGGCTGTGGCACCGGCTCACCCTGCAAACCTCTACATGTTTGTCTCCGTCCTGCTCCACCTCTACTCTGTGCTCAACCTGCTCCGTCATGCACATCTCCTCCTGGATCAGTTGACTCTGCTCTGAACCTGAGCCGCCTCCACAGCTGGAGAGCTGTGCTCGACAGTGCACCACTCTCCTGGAATTACAGGATGAAGAAGAGCTCGAGGAGTTTGTATGTCTCCTTGTGGTGTGGCTGGAGGTGTGTAGATGTGGGGGCGGGCCAAGAGGCTGTTTGCGGCTGTGTGCTGGATTTTCCCACAGGTCGTACTGCTGCTCCTGTCGCTGGTAACAGCAAGGGCAGTGGTTTGCTTCCATTGCACACTGCACAGCCTCCGGGTCGAATGACACCGAATCAGGATCGGAGCAGCTTTCGGATTGGCCCTTGTGCAGGTATTGCGCCGGGACCTGGCTCAGGGGGCAACAGTCATTGGTCAGAGATGGGGATTTTTTAATCCGCGTGGACCATTGTAGGGTCTCGTCGTTTTGGAGGCGGAAACGGACCCTCATCTCTACTGAGAGGCTGCCGTCTTTATTGACAAGCACTCGCTTTTCGATGTCATCGTTCATAATCGCCGGTCTGGCCTGGGAGTAGGCACTGACACCGTTGCCGTATGATTTCTCTGAAGACATCGAGAAATGGGTGGAGCGGTTTGAGGAGTCAGAACGAGGGTGGATGATGCTCTTCTTGGTTTCCAGACCAAAGTTCACTGAAAGGAGAGTGAGAAAACCCCAAATATTATTTCACATTTCCTTGCTGCTTTTATTTCTAACTCTGTTGATGTTCACCTACACAACATACCATTTTTCTTGCTTTCATGTCCTTCGCTGTACTCGCTGGCTCTGGACTGAGCTCCATGAGGTGGGGATCTTGCTCCCTGAGTGGCAGGAGATCTGGCCCCGTTTCCTGGAGTCCTGGGACCGAGACCAGGCGACCTGCTGTCCAGACCAGGTAGCTTTTCCTCCGAGTTCTTCTTGATGAAGTTGGCCAGCATTGGACTGAACGCTTCGCGGCCGACGCACACCAACACAGGAGGGCAGGTCATCAGGCTCTGCACGCTGTCGATCTGGAAACAAAGTCACAGAAGTAAATGAATAAAAAGTAAATATTAATCGTCTCCATTCAATCAAATACAAATCCCTTCTTACCTTGCGTCCCTCTGCAGTGTAGAGCTTGCGAACGTGAAACTGCATCACCTCTGACACTTCATCCAGAAAGGCCCTGAGGCTCCTGGACGACCTCCTGCTCAGCACCACGCTCCTCCTCATGCCCGGCTCGCTGTTCTTCACCAGCAGAATCCGGCGCTGCCTGTACGGCAAATGGTTGGGTGGCGTTGCGGACAAGCTTTCGGGCCGCTGGGGTCTGCGGTTGAGATGGTACCAGATGCTCGGGCGTTTGCTTGCCAGCTCCATGTTGATCGGCTTAGCCTGGCGCCGGTCAGAGCACAGGTAGCAGCCTCCGTCCTGGAGCTGCTCGAGGTGTCGGATGGTGTTGGTGCCACGGGGAGTGGTTACAGTCCGCACACCAAATGGAAGGGGCACCTGTATGGGGACAAACAGTATATAACCTTCTTATATAGTATAGAAATTTTATCATGATTAAAATAACTTTTCTTAAATTCTAAGCTGAAAACGGTGGTTAAAAGGAATAAGAAGGATGTGTTTCATGTCAGGGGAAAGTTTCATCCTGTTTCCTAGGTGACAGGTTAAAAGTGCAGCGTATCTGCATCCTCATAGTCGACTTCAATAGAAATCTCGACATCACCGCTCCTGTCCCACTGACCTTTTGGGAAAGGTCGTCCAGCAGCGCGTCGAAGCATTTGAAGCTGCGCTTGTGGACGGCCATCCTGACGCCCCCGAACTGGCTGTCGCCGCTTTTGTAGAAGGTGATCCGCTTCGCTGGGGTGGCTGTGGTCACGTGGGTGGGGCGCACGTCAGAGGGGGATGGTGAGGCGAGGGACGAGCCATGTTTAGACGGGGGCCGGGGGTCCCACATCACTGCCTGGACCGAATGCATGCTGCGTTCTCACACACACCTGAGGAATACACACAAACACACAACAGTAAATCTATAGAAGTCATTACAAGGCTAAACGGCAAATGATTCAATTCAAGGTGCTATTTCATACATCAAGAGCCATGAATTATTCCCTGTGAGCAATAATAGAATAAAGTATTTGTTGAAAAAAACACTGATCACATTTAAATATGAAGATTCTGTGAAACAAAAGACTGGCTTCAACTTTCTGCATGAAACATTCAGTGCAGAGACGTTAAGGACAGAGCTTCCCATGGTTATTTTTAATGAAGCAGACCAGCACACACATAGAGATCCTATTTAAGACGGACGTAAAAGGTTCTGCTCGCTACTGAGCTTCTGGCGTAAACTAGCTTGCATAATATACAGTAAGCGATTCATCCTCTTTCACTTTGTGTTATAAGCTCACAATGTACTTGTCAACACCCCAGAGTGACACCTTATATTCAATACAATGTTAATAATGATCATCCTGATTATTACATCTGAAGACTTTTAATAAAGGTGGATGTTCTCAACAGGCTTAGCAGGTTTTAAGTCCCATGAGACCAGACTTCAGGCCAAATCAGTGATCTTAGCTGTGGACAGTCTGTCCTCTTAATTCCTTTTCAGTTCCTTAACAACCTCACATCTAACATCCATCCGTCCGTCCATCCATCTATCACTGTTTGCGGCTGCAGTTTGCAAACACCCAAACTTACATCCATTACTGAAGCGATGAATTGAAATTGCTTGCGGTGAAATCCAAGAATATTCTCTCGTACTCGTGTGCGAGAGTAAATTCTCAGATTTAAGAAGCAGTAACTGAGAAAAGTTTTGCATTTTTGAAGCCAACATCTCTTCCTAACACACATTTTTACTGTATGGCGTATTCTTAACTATTTGTGTGTTTCAAGCCATAATATTTTATCCTGTTACATTTCGTGTTTTAGATTTAATCTACTTGCATCATCTGTTTTATTGTAAAGAACTTTGTAGTTTATTTTCAAAAGGTG